CCCCCCCTTTTTTTTTTTTTTTTTCACTGACTTTTTCTTTCTCTCTGTCTCCACGGTGACAGGTTGCGACGACTTGATCAGCTCTGTCTTCGAGTTTGGGAAAAACTTGTGTTCTGTGCACCTCTCTGAAGACGAGATCGCCCTGTTCTCCGCCTTCGTGTTGATGTCTGCAGGTGAGCCCGGCTCGGTGTTAAAGCATACCCATAAATTACCCACAATCCCTTGTTTACCTTCAAAACTATTTGTGACTAAAGGAGAAATGGTGTTGGGACAGCTCAGATTGTGTATGTGAAAGTATAACATCCCCGTGTGTTTTTAGATCGATCCTGGCTCCAGGAGAAGGTGAAGGTGGAGAAACTCCAGCAGAAGATCCAGCTGGCCCTCCAACATGTTCTACAGAAGAACCATAGAGAGGACGGCATGCTGACAAAGGTACTGGACACATAAGGAACAGGATATGATGTCATTAGATGTATCATCTATTATCTTATATATTATATATATTCTTATATATTATATTCTTTTATGTAATCCTCTGAATTTCTATATTGTGTTATTTGAATAACTAATGTGTAAAATATTACAAATTTTAAATATTTTCTAAATAAAATGATTGGCTGTTATGTTGCCATTATACCAAAGCAAATTATTAAAGTATTTATCTTGAAAATATTTACTTTAAGTTTACAATTTTACAGATAATTTTTCATATAAGTAAAATTATATGTATAAATCCAAACAATAAATTAATAAACATATTTGTTTTTATTTCCTTCTGGAAAAAACTAGGGATGCAAATAGAATAAATGATGTATAATTAAATCTGTTATTTTAACATTATTTATAATATTGTAATAATAATAACATAATTCTATATTTATTATTATAGAATTTATAAAATTTTTGAAATGGCTTTTGTTTTTATATTTCCTGTTTTCTTTTTAATTTTAGTTTGAATAATTTTGTTGTGCTTTTGTCATTTTTATTAGTTTTATTGTTTTTTTATATTTAGGGTTAATTTATTTTTATTCCATTTTAGTTTTTCAGTTAGTAACTAATTTCAGTTACTTGCCAAGTCAACATTTTTATTTTTCATCTAATATTTTTATTTATATTTATAGAAATAAAATTTTATTTTATTTCAATTACTGAAAACTATTTTTAATAGTTTTAGTTAACAATAACCACACAAGTCTTTTTCAACTGGTCATTAGAATGCAAAATTAAATAATCATAATATTCAGTTTGTTAAGTGTGTTAAATAATATTGTGTTAAATTTGACAGTTGTGATAAAACATTTTGGAAAGAAAAAAAAAAGTAAATACTTTTATTTTTTTCTTTTCTTGTAAATTCTCTGCAGAGACCCCCTGTTTAAAACCATTGCATTATAGGGCCAGGGACATTTATTAAGAATGTCAATTGGATCAATTTGAATTTCATGTATGACTTCATCCACAAAGCTGTATTTGGTCTGGCGGCCGAAAGATTAGCTAATGTCATGTGAAAAACCTGGGACCATCTGTGTTGTGTCTGCAGATAGAGGCGCTGCCTTTTGCCTTTTGACCCAGAACCACAGGGTCCTTTCCACCAAATTAAAATCTCTCTCTCTCTTTCTGCAGTTAATATGCAAAGTCTCCACACTGCGAGCCCTGTGCAGCCGGCATACAGAAAAGCTGACGGCGTTCAAAGCAATATACCCAGACATTGTTCGCACCCACTTCCCCCCCTTGTACAAGGAGTTGTTCGGATCAGACTTTGAGCAGTCCATGCCCATTGACGGGTAGCGCTTCCCCGCGCCCACCCCGCCCGGGAGAATTTACACCGTGGGGAATGTCAAGCATAAATCTGAGACACTTTAGCAGTGCCCTGCACATACACACACCTGGACGGACGACACACTGCACACACACACTTTTCCCCTTTTTTTCTTTGTGATTTTTTTTTTTTCGTGGGGGAGGAGGTAGTAGACTGGGTTTGACTCCAGTGGTTTATTTTTGGGGTTTGTTTCCTTCTTTTACTGACACAGGTGGGATTCGGAGCCCAGGGGAGAGGATAAGAAGATGAAGACACTTGTTTTTCCCGAACGCTCCCTCGCTCTCTTTCTCTCTCTGGCTGAACCTGAAGAGTCCACACATTCATTTTCGAGAACGGTCCCATGGCGATTTGTCACAATCAGCATAAATTGTTTCCAAAACGGAAAAACGAGTCCCGGAGAGCCCTTTTCAAGCCAAGGACATGAAATAAAAAGTTGCGATCAAAAAGTTGATTATCCGAACTGTTCCAGCAGTTGTTGTAGCACCAAAAAAGTCTACGTAGAAAAATACGTTGTTAGCTCCTTCCGCCCTGTGCACTGTTTTCAAACCAGCACCGAATGAAGAAGAATACGAAGTGAGAGAGAAAGAGAGATATGGAGAAGGAGTGTGATGTAGAGTCAACACACAACATCACCTTTCTACAGACAATTGAGAAAAAAAAAAAAAAGAAGGAACAACGTAGAATTCTGGTAATTCTAGTTGCGATTGCTTTTAGCCGTCAGAGACTCCATCTACCGTAGTTGCTTAGTGATATCGTTTAAGGCCATCTGCTATTAAGTCCCTCTCCGGAATGGTGTTAACGTAACGTAATGGTCCGACCACCAACATCGATGCAATGCAAGGGTCCATTCCACCTATTTTCTAACATGTTACAGGGTATAAGATCATAAGTACAAACTATACAGGAAAAAAATGTTTATAGAATCTATTTTAAATAACATGTATGATATTAGTAGCTAGACTATTCTTAATTGTGAAAAATTGATAAGGCACTTTTATTTGCACCTTTCTTTAATTTAAGACATGTATATTTACCTAGTGATGTGTTGCATGTATAAATACCACGGTTATGGAGAACGAGTGCTGGAAACCCTAACGCTGCTGAGGGTGGGTGCGTGTTTGCGTGCGTGCGTGTTTGTGTATTTATTTGCGCGAGGCGGAGGTTGGTGCTGGGTAAAGGCAGATCACGTAATCTAGGGGGGGTTTGTAGCAAACACTCATCGTCTGCCGGGGGGGGGGGTTGTAGGAAACACTCATTGTCTGCCACCTTTAAATGGGAGATATGGTAAAACATGTAGTTCTTGTTATTTCGTCCTTGAATAACGTCCCATTGGGAAAACCTAAGCACACCGGGTCTAAAGGGCTGTTGAATGCAATCGGACCCTTTTTCCACACACATCACATGCTGTTTAATGGTTCCACCTAGTGGTGGTGTGCCACATGACCGTGTGGAAGAGTTAGATCTGGTTTATGAACGGCTGATCTTCCTTAAACTGGCTCTTGTGAGGGTCTTTGCCCAGCAGCAAAGCTCGTCAGGAACGTAAGAGTGGAAAAAAAGACGAAAAGAGAAATATTCAAAGCCTTGTCTGGATGAAATCCTCTATTTTTGTAACATTGTACAGTGCTTATGAAGCCTATGAAAGAAAAAGGGAAAGAACGAAGGATGATATAGCACTTAATCCTGCAATAATTAGAATCTGTGTGTTTTTTATTATTTTATTTTTTTTGTCTTTTTCAAAGAACAAGACAATGGTAGTAATAGTGCTAGTTTTTGGAATACCTAACTGTTGTGTGTTGCGTGTGTTTGTACGTCTCTTGAATGTGCCATAGTGGTCTTTCCTGCTTTTTTGAGTCTGAAAAAAAATTGTTGTAGTGTAACATTCCAGTAAAACTATGTTGTGGCGAATAGAAAATCCCAATATAATCCAGAAAAAAACTTCACCGATCACATCTACGACCTGCTAACTGACATTTTGAGAAACTTTGAGTAGATCTTGGTAGCTTCATGTAATTTGTTTTCCCCATGACACAAAGTATTTTCCTCAGGGAAGAGTCTGTCTAACTCAATTCTGAAGCCGATAGCTTAAACACGTTAGTCAGCTCTATGTTGCCTCTAAAGATCAATAAATTGATCTTGATGCCATGTTTGAGTCCAGATAAAAAATAACGCTTTTATGAAATATAGTGCACTACTATTGACAAAATATTAGTCTGTGCAATGCATTCCCAAGAAGTCCTGCTTATTACAATACATCATCAATCTGTGATTGACAATCCAGGTTCATATTTAGTTCTTTACACTGTAAATCAGCAGTTTTGTGGCTCAGGGAGAGTAATATTGAATAATAATTGATCAGGGGTAATAATGAGGTCAGTTCCAAAACCTAGTGAGCTGCCTACCTGGACAGCATTTTAGCTGAGCTTCTGACACAAAATGTGTCTCAAAGCGGTGGAAAGTAAAAGTACTACATTTTGGCCAATTTTAACGCAATCCCAGAATGTAATGCGACAAAATCTGTAAAAACTTTCTTTCATCATGGTCTAGGAGTCATAGATATGAATATATTTCATTCAATACTGAAAAGAATTGATAAATAATAGTTAAATCTTATTAAAAAAAGGTAATATTTACCCAAAATTTATAGGCGAACTATTGTGCTTTTAGCATAGCAACATGCTAACATAAAATTCCATTGGAATCAATTGCAAACAGAGACAAACCCATATGTTACTCATAAGGCGAGCTATCTGTGTGACATACAGAGTTGTTGTCTATATAGATTGATACAAATCAGTCACTTAGAAGGTTCTATTTTGGAGGATGTTTCCTAGACAAGCAGACAGGAAGGCAGCTCACTAGAAACGGGACTGAACCCAAAACAACCTAGTAATGATGTTAAAGTACAAATGGGAACAAACACTCATCTGTTACCGTTCAGTGGTCCTATAGATCATTTTTTTAAAGCTCATTTTTCATCTTTCGCAATTTATGGGCTCATGTCCTTCCATGTTATTCACTAGCATGATTGCTGTCAAGTCAAAAGAAGACGGTAGGCCACTGGCTTTATCAAATCACCCAGTGAGCTCCAAGATCTAATTCCCGCAAATCCAACAAAGCAAGATATCAACCTCAAGCGTGCTACGCTAATTTCCAGCTTTGGTTTTTTTTTCTGGATGGGGATTTGTTCTAATCGTCACTCATAATTGTTTGAGTCTATGTGCCAAATACCTCTTCACGATTTACTCCACCTTCAGACGTCCGCGCGGGAGAATTGTCGCGCGTGACAAATACGGGTTTCTACAGGGTAACCACTGCTGTGGAGTCCCTTTGATGAACAGGCTTTGCTGTTTCCTGTCCAATTATCCTCAAGTCAGTTCTAACACCATAAAAGCTGTAGTAAAGTCGCGTTTTACCACTTTTTGCATGTTGTATTTTTTCAGCGTAGTTTGTATTAGACTTTTAAAGCAATATGCTATGGGATAGAACTTTATTTTTTCTAATACAAGCAAAGGTACTTAAACGCCTCTGGATCTGTGGTATTTTAGACGTGCGAAGGGAAAAGTCCTGCGTTTCTCTTATCGGTGGAAGATCCATACATTTTCCCTTGTAAATTGTTTAACGAAATTCTTTTTCAACCGTGGTTTCCTTTGTTTATCAATGTGAGAAGCAATATAGAACCGAATGTGGATGCGAGAGCGTGTACAAGCGGAAATGTGTGTGTTTGTGCTATTTGTAATGTTTGCTTAAGGTCAAACCCCCAGACAAGGCTTTAAAAGATCAGACGCAGCAGGGTGAGATGATGAATTGTATGTAAGAACGTACGTTTTTTTTTCCCCAGGATGTAATGTTTTACGTAGCACTGAGCTTGAATCCCTTGACGAGGCTGTACAAGCATGACACACTGCACCTCGACGTTAATTTCGATTAAAGTTATGCAAACGCAACAAGGCCTATGCACTCACGTTTGAACGAAAGTCACATTTACCGATATTTTTTTTCTCAATTCCGATGACGTGTCATGTTTGCGACAGCATTCAAGCTGAAGGTTAAAGTGTTACTAAGATTTACGTCAATCCTTTTCCTTGCGTTTTCTATCCAAAAGCACAGCTGACGCGTTATTAAAAGTGAACTATGTTTAGATAATAGACGAAAAAAGTCTTTAGCCATAATCAAATGTCAAGCAATAATATATAGTATGTTATGATTCATTTTGTGCATAGGCTTTGAACATCTGCATGTAAATACATTTTCTTATTTATCACGTTTCATTTTTTTTCGCTTTGGGTTTTTTCGCTCTCTGATTGTCATTTTTTTGTTTGTTTGTTTTATTTGTTTATTGACTAGTTCTGTTCCCGGGTGGAGAACTACGAACGTCAAATGGCCTGTAAACTGTACAGCTATGTTTCCCTGTCCTCCTTTCGGCTTTTAATTCACGATATTTAATGTTCTATCGATCACATGTATAAAAGTAACTTTGTAACTTCTGTCTGTATAGGTAAGAAGAAAATACTGCTATTAAGACCTGCTCAGTGCAAATATTTATCTGTTTTATCAGACACAACATGCTGTACAATATCTCTGTTTTGAGTATACTTCTCTCTTTTAGACTTAGTTTGATTAGCGGTAGGGTGTGCGGACATTAATTTTTGTGTTATACTGACGTGTGGTGCTAGGTAAGTTACTTTTGTGAACAAAAATTATGGATTCATAGACTAGGCCACCCTCTTAGTCAATTCATTTCACTGAGTATTGATGCATTATTGATATTAGGACTTGATAAATAATAATAATGATAATAACGATAAAGATAATGATAGTGGTAAATTTACTTTCGAATACCCAGCAAGTACCTGTATCAGTGTGCTAGTCTTGGGACGCGGCTTGTTTCCTTCCCACTTTTAAGATTAGGCTATTAGCAAGTATCGGCTAAGTAAATCTCTATTAAACGTCGCAATTTAGAATTTTTCGCAACAAAGATGTTTGTTCATGCTTTAAAAAAATGGAAAAAAGCAGCAGTATTGTGTTTCTTTTTGATTGTTTCGAAACTAGCTGGAGGAGTTTCTAATCCAGTGCTTATTTTCTGCTGGAAGGACTTTAAACACACGTTAAAGTACCGGATTGTCTGCCGCTATTTGGCTCCCTCCATTTTTTTTTTTTTTTGTTGATTCTACCTTCTGTTTTTTAAAAACGCGCTTTGTAAACATTTTTTTTTCTATCCTAAATCCACTCACACTTACATATACACACAATGGTTAAGTGTTATAAATTGTACAGGACAAAGGTGGTTGTACAAAGTTTTGTCAAACTTCCTGTTTTTAACTTTGTAGCAAGGCAGAATCTACTTGCAATAATACATAGCAAACTACACTGAGTGTCTCTCAGTGGTATAGGATGCAGAAGCTCTATTCGTCCGTTTTGTTTTCACATACTCAAATGATTGTGTTTGCACATGTAGGTGAATTCTGTCTTGTGTTACTGACTTTTCTTTTCATTGGCCGTCTTTTGAGGCATTTCATGTTTGTTTATAGCCATGGAAACAGCATTTTCTTGTCTCTGTGATGTCCTGTATTTTCTGAGATTCTCAGATGCTACTTTTTCTTTTCCTCCAAACAACTTCACGTTGGTTATGGGACATTGCATCCTGTCAGTTGCACCCTGGTTGGATGTTAAACACAAACCCCATTTGGATATTTGCAGAGACAAACTGGTGGACAATAGACAATCCACTCTGTGTTCTCCCTGTTGTTTCCTGCCAATTAGGTTTTAAGTTGACTATTATGAAACAAAATGACTAATGCAATGTATTTTAAGTGTTCATATGTGTATGTTAAATGATGCATACTACACTTCTATTTCTTGTTGAGCTGAAGGGGAGGGCACAAGGGCTGGGGCAGGATGGGTTGGATTTTGCTCCTGCTTACCGGCAGGGGGGACAAAAGCAGAGAACGGTTTGCGGTTGTCACATATTTTTACGTCACATGTTTGCTACTGATCTTAAAATGGGGACAGTCGATCATGTACCTTTTTATTCAGCTCTTTGGAACTCTCTTTAGGAGATAGTCTCTTCTCAATAGTGGTTTTGCTCCTTCTGTTTGTCTGATTCTTAAATATGAAAATAAGCATTTTGATTCATTTTGTAAATACCGCTGTAAAGAAAAATAAGAAATGTAATGTTGTCTTTTAAATACTTTTCATTCTAATATGAATGTTGTTATATTGTACTTAGAAACTGTACCTTTAATATTACCTTTATTAAAAGTGCATTGGACACATCGATTTTAGATGTGCTTTATGTGCTGTTATCCCATAATAAAATTTACCGCTTGTAATGGGCTCTTATTCAGTGTGTGTCATACTTCTTTATGTAGTTCATGGTTGAAGTAATTTCCACAAAACCTTCAGAGATGGAAGTGGAGGAACAGAACAACATTTAAAAGAAAACTTCAAAACTTACAGACATTAATGTTACATTTGATGGAGTGGAAGCCATTACCTTTTTTCGGAGAAGCAGTAGGCATTAAATGTGTTAAATATCAAGAAAATAAGAGATGCGTACATGTGGACTCAAATAGTTTGAAGTGGGTTGCAAAGTTTACTTAAAGGGATAGTTCACCCAAAAATGAAAATTCTGTCATCATTTACTCACCCTCATGTCGTTCCAAACCTGTATGAGTTGCTTTCTTATGTTGAACACAAAAGAAGATATTTTGAAGATTGCTGGTAATCAAACAGTTGGTGGTTGCCATTGACTTCCATAGTATATATTTTTTCCTACTATGGAAGTCAATGGCAACCACCAACTGTTTGATTACCAGCAATCTTCAAAATATCTTCTTTTGTGTTCAACATAAGAAAGCAACTCATACAGGTTTGGAACGACATGAGGGTGAGTAAATGATGACAGAATTTTCATTTTTGGGTGAACTATCCCTTTAACTCCAACAATATCATAATAAAAGTCTGTGCTATTTCTAAAGATTAATTCAACAAGAATGGCCTATAAAATTAACCATGGTTTTCTTGAGAATACCATAGTCACGGTTATTTTTTAGTATATTATCGAGTGAACAACCCTAACCCTGATAGCACATCACGGAGATGTCTATTTGGCGTCTGCATTTACATCTGCAAGACGTATTTTTAAGAGTATTTGCTCATCTGCAATACGTCTATATATAGGACGTTTCCTATCAGATGTCAAATAGACGTTTAGAAGATGTCTTTAAGATGTTTATGATTTAGAATGAATGTAAAACTGACATCTTAAAGACGCCTATCAGATGTTTGTACACAGCAGATGCTTTCCAGATGAAGCAAACAGACATCTTGCAGACGTACTGGGGAAAGCCAACTGAACTGTTGGAAGATTTCACATCAACTCATTCCCAGATAGCACACGTACATCTGCTGGACGTATTGCAGATGAGCAAACACTCTTAAAAATATGTCTTGAAGATGTAAATGCAGACGTCTAATAAACGTCTCTGTGATGTACGTGCGCTATCAGGGTCAGAAACTAAATTAACACAACATGTGAAAAGGACTGAGGAAAACTCAATTTAAAAAGTCAAAGTGTCTCGTCATAAACATACCTGATAATAGATCAAGTAAAATAAATACATAAGACCTATCTACATTTAATTGTACTTAAGTATTAACCTTAATAATTTAAACTCATTCTTAATTTCTGACTGGAATCAGATTTGCTCTTAAAGTATGATACAAAAACTTAAAATCAAGCTATTTATTGATATTTTTCAGTATGTGCCGCCAAAACCCTACACCACTGGAAGTAATTTTTTTTAAATATCTATTGTAACAAATTTATTGTACCAATAAAAGCATAATAATTAAGAACTGCGAAAAATCTCAAACGTGTGATAGGAAGCGGAACCTTTGTGTCATGTTTTGGTTCTAGCCGGAAGATTCATCTATCGCATTCTCACTGTTATGATGAGGGACCGTCAGCGTGCGAGAGTCTGCGGTCATGGAGTTCAAATGGTAGGTGAGAATATGATTCGCTGAATAAACACATTTTCATGCTGACCAGTTTAATAAACTGCAGTTAGCTTCAGTGTGCTGGTTTGTCCTCAGGAACGACGCTCCTGTCACTGGGCCGCTTGAGTTCTCGAGAGATGTGTTTGACAAGTTCACTCTCGCGCCCACCGTCAAAGAACTGTTTGGTCTTTTACACAGGTAGGTGACTGTGCTCAAACCCTACGATAAGTGTAGCGAAACTGTTATTAATAGCACGAGCGTAATACCCACATATAAAACGGCTCTTCATTAACATAATTAGATTGTGTAACCATGGTTACAGCTTTCAAACTATCAGTGCTATCTGATATGGGAAAGTAGCCTAAATACTTGAATGTACAACATTTCTACCAAATGTTCATAATTACTATAGTAAAACCATGGTAATTTTTGTAAGGGATACTCTGTAGATGAAAATGGTTTTAAAGCATCCTTCAAACCTCATTTGTCAGCAAGAAGTTTGTAATCATTTTAATCATTAAATATAATACAATTTAGTATGATCACTTAAAAAAAAAACATTTTAATAAGTAAGTTAATGGTCAGAATAAGTATGTTGTTTCATTTTTACATAAATATATCTGGTGGAACATTATTTTACCCATATTTTGACATTTTATTTTCAGAAAAGTTGTTTGAAACATTAAAGTAGACAATTTACTTGCATGTAATATGCTTTTTATGTGTATGAAATCACTTTTGCAAATTTAATTTAATGTGGACACCAAATGTATTAATATAATATATATATATATATATGTGTGTGTGTGTGTGTGTGTGTGTGTGTGTGTGTGTCTGTGTGTATAATACTTTTTATTTTGAGTGGCTGTTCACATAGACAATGCCACAAAAGTCCCATTTTCTATCCCAATGAAGTAAAAAAAAAAAAAAAAATCAAAAGGTTATTTTTTTTCTGTCTAAAATAAGACTACAAAAGGGTTAAAGCCACTATTTTTGATATTACGCAGCGCCTGAAAATAGGCTTATTGGAAGTTACCTAGCTAGGACTGTTTTCAGGCGCTGCGTAATATCATTGCGCCTGCTGCACCCATGGTACGGCAGCAAAGTTCCTTGATTATTATGCCGGAATGAGAGTATAGTTCCTAGCCATCTCGGCCTAGAAAATCACAACTTTCCATTTTCAGTCGGTCTTAGTACACGATGTAACTACAGAAGAGTCAAGTTTTAAATAGGAAAAATATCGAATCTCTTTGGTCATTTTTGAGCGAGATGCTTACGGTCTAATCAGATTCAATGATCTATGCTAAGCTACAGCTAAAAGTGCTACCGCCAGACCCGGAGATTGGCTGAATGGATTCGAAAACAGTAAAACTCAACTGTTTAACTCTAGGGGAGTTGGAAAATGAGCCTATTTTCAAAAATAGTGGAGTGTTCCTTTAAATGATGGTATGTTATTGAGATTTTTAATTGTTTTCTTCAAAGCTCTGATACAAAGTCTGAGGAGACGGGTGAGAAAAAGCCAGATGGATCCTCATCAGAAGCAAAGACTGTTAAGTGTAATGAAGATGCAGATGTCAGTAACATCCTTGCATCAGATGAGCCCTCGTCTGAATGCAAACCAACCAAAGCCAAACCTGTGAAGAGAACTGCGACTCCAGCGTTCCCTGAGCCCCTAGTGCCCTACCCCTGCTTTTCCACCCTCAATGCAAAGAATCGCAAGCTATATCTCAACATGCTCATCCACAAGAATTATTCCAGAGCTTCCAAGGTAGACCATCTCTCGTCCTGATCGCCTGCTTTAATAGTAAGGCAGTTTTGATTGAGGTACATGGATGAAGGCTGTTTTCATGTGTTTCATATTGTCTCTCATTTCAAAGTGTTTGTTGGAGCTGGTGAAGAACGAGGTAACAGAGTTTATGAAATACCTGCAAGATGTTTCTAGAGCATGTGCTGATGGGTACAACTATATGCCACCATGCAGCACCCGCTACACTGAGGTAGTATTTTTTTCTTATCTTTTTTATTTTATTTTATTTTTTTACTATTCAAATGTTTTTACAAAATCCATTGCTGTTTTTAATTACATTTTTAATTATTTAATTTTAATTAAATAATAAAAATATATATTTTAAATATATATTTTTGATTTTGTATGTTTTCCCCAACAGGAATATTTTGCAGCCTGTTTGGAACATGTGAAGAGTTACCCACAGGTTTACAGCATTCAAGAGATTACTAGCCTAACCAGTGTAAAGTTTGTGGGTGAAATATCTCTCAACTTTGAGAAACAGCTTCTTGCTATGGTACTTATTTTTCTATATTTATTTTCTTTGATCTTGAAGGTCCCATGACATGCTGCTTTTTGGATGCTTTTATATAGGCCTAAGTGGTCCCTAGTACTGTATCTGAAGTCTCTTTCCCGAAATTCAGCCTTGGTGCAGAATTTCAGCCACTACGAGCCAGTCCCACAATGAGCTTTCCTTAGGACGTGCCATTTCTGTGTCTGTAGCTTTAAATGCTAATGAGGAGGAGAGAGGCGGGGCAACTGCCATGCTTCGCTCGTTTGCAAGCCATGATGTCTCTCGAGGAAAAAAAAATATTGCGCTGGCCTTGCACGGTAGTAGCTCATTTTCTCATGGGCGGGCCAAATTCTCTGGGCGGGCAAAGCAGAGAAAGGGGAGGTAACCTTTCCCCGTATGACGACATAAAGGGAAGATTCCAGATTGGGCCATCTGAGCTTTCATTTTCTCAAAGGCGAAGCAGGATACCCAGGGCTCGGTTTACACCTATCGCCATTTCTAGCCACTGGGGGACCATAGGCAGGCTAGGGGAACTCATATTAATGTTAAAAAACCTCATAAAGTGAAATTTTCATGCCATGGGACCTTTAAATGTGTGATATACTGATGCTTGTTATATCTATCTCTACTGTCTTTCTCCTCAGGGTAAAATAGACATGCTAGACACAAAAGTGATACCAGAAAACACCCAGCTTGCTGTAGACTATGAAACCGTGTCAAATGTGATTCCTCCAGCTAAAAAAGCAACTTTAGGACACACTGTAAGTAGCCTGTGTGTGTTTCTGTCAATTTCTGTCAAACTTTATATGGATAAATATCACAAAAGGGTAATTTTTCACCCCAAAATGAAAATTGGCAATAATACACATTTTTTACTTAAATTCTTATTTTGCATTTTTATTTAAATGCTTAATTGAGTTAAATTCAGTACAAGTACTACCATGAATAAATACTATTAAGTACCATTTAATTATTATTATTATTAGTAGCTGTAGTAGTATAATATCATTGCTGTAATGACAATTGGGAGAAAGAAACTTGCTGAATTGCCATGTAAATAATGTCATGATGCAATACAAATATATTAATATTACTCTAACAAAAATTATGAATCATGTTAAATAGGTATTCTGCAGGTCTTAAAAGGGTCTAATTCGCTCTTCTACAAGACAAGGCCTTGAAAGGTCCTGAATCTGAGCAAAAAGCCTTAAATAGTTGAAGTCATGGCATTAAAATGTTGCATGGACTTTGAAGAAAAAACATGAATATCTTCCTCAGTATTTTTTTGTTTTTCAATACAAATATCTAAGCATTCTTAAATCAAGATGCATTTACTTGAGATGCGGGAGATATGAAGTCTTCTAAGTTTTCTGAGAAATTGAATAAAATTAATTGAACTTATGTTTAAAACAAGAATAAATATGTATTTTTGCTTCTCAAGTAAAATCTTGGTTCAAGAATCTTTAGACATTTGCTCTGGAAAACAAGAAACTAATACTGATGAAGAACATCATTTTTTGCAGTGTGATCAGAAGGTACAGTAAAAGTTATTTCCATATTCTAGTGGTTGGGGGCAGAGCTGTTTTTTAGCACATTTTTTGTAAAATGAATTCAAAAATGGAGATGTGTAGTTAGTTCTATTTTCAAGCATTGTTAATACAAGACATTTATGTTTAGAGAACATTGACATGTTCCATTCAATTTAATAATTTCTTTACATGGTCGTAAACCTGCAGAAAATATTTATTTTTAAAACATTTTTAGTTTTTACGGGTAAAAAGGGACCCAGAAATGTCCTTTTTTGCGAGTTTCACAAATGTAATTTCTAGCATTTACAAGCAGTGTTGTCTGTCTTGCAAAATGTGACTTTAACCACTAGGGGGCACTGCTGCATTTGGTTTGAATTACCACTCTCATATGTTTGATTCTTATATATGTATGTATGTAGGTATGTATGTATGTATAATTCTTATTAATATAAATATAATACTTGTGTTAATCCTGATGTCTGTTCATTTCTGCAGGTCATTAGCAATGACAGTAATGCGGAAAAACTCTGTGCTACTTATGAGCCACAAGTGTGTTTATCTAAAGAGGCCTTCCTTCAGCTCCTGAATAACAGCTTTGAGTTCACGGAAGTGTGGGAGCTGCCCATTTGGGTCAAAATTAATCCCATGAAAGGTGAGGGGTCACTTCCTGTTTTAACTTCGGTCCCGGAGGGCCACTGTCCTGCAGAGTTTATCTCCAACCTTAATCAAACACACCTGCCTGTAGCTTTCTAGTCAAGACATTAGGCTTGTTTGAGAAATGTCCCATGAAAGGTGAGGGGTCACTTCCTGTTTTAACTTCGGTCCCGGAGGGCCACTGTCCTGCAGAGTTTATCTCCAACCTTAATCAAACACACCTGCCTTTAGCTTTCTAGTCAAGACATTAGGCTTGTTTGAGAAATGAATGAAGGCGCCTGAAATGAAGGCGAGAGTAGGCGGCTGCAGTGAGGGGAGGAGTGAAATAAGCGCAGTCAAGACGGACAGTTCTGACCTCTCGAAGTGAACAGATACCAACGAGATCAAAGACAGATATCGCGTTATTCTCACTCACGTGCTGTGTTGCTAATAAACATGATATAATTTCAGTTCTGTTGCTTTTATATGAAAGTAAATATGATGAACAAGACACTCAAAGTGCTTACTATTTAATTCCATACGAAAGGCATATTTATCATCCATTTTTACTTTAATACAAACATATATTTTAGATTTTTATAGAAATATGACAACCATCACATATCTCACACAGAGATGGTACTGTCATAGTGTTTGGGAACATTCTTGCATAATTTAAACGCATAATCACATGGAATCAGATAAAAAATTTAACATTTTAGAAGAGAATGCAGCATCACAGTTGTCTGAACCAATGAGCATTAAGCTTTGTCGTCAGTCAGTCGTTTCCCATCATGCTTTTGACCAGCGCAGTCGGTGGAGAGCAACTGCGCTCGACTGCACAATCCGACACAGCTGCCTCGCCGTCGCGAGAGCTTTTTGGCACACGTCAGCGTGACATCAGAGCAAGGTGGACGTAACTCGGACACTTTTCTAACCGGCATGCATCTCGCGGTGATCACCGGTGATCGGTTCTGCGCAGATTTTGCTCACCTCAAACAAGCCTATTGATTAGCTTGTTCAGGTGTGTTTGATTAGGGTTGGAGCTAAACTGCAGGACAGTGGCTCTCTAGGACCGAAGTTGCCCGGCCCTGTTGTAGATCATAAGATTGTAATCCTGTCCATAGTCCCACATGATGAATGTTGTGGTTGTTCTCAGGCAGCAGTCAGAGTAAGACGGCGTACATCGATCCTCCTCTGCTGAAGACAGAGATGAGCTGGAGAGAGAGGAGTCTGCTGTTTCATGAAGAGAGCGTGAAGCTGGCATTCAAGAAGACTGTATCACGTCCTGTGTTTTTCCTCACTTCAGAAGAGCTCCCTGTTAAAATGGAGCCTCCTCCTGAGGTAAGATGTTTATCACGGTAAGAAGACCTAACAACAGACAAATATATTGTAGATGAATTATTAATAAATTATTAATAATTATTAATAAATTACTAATTAATTATTGTAATTATTGGCTCCTTTTTCCCTTTTTTTAATAAAATCACTTTCATAAAGAACTTATTATTTTTTACTTGTAAGTAGTTTTAGCTTTAAAAAAACCATCATCTTCAAGAAACGACTAAAAACACATCTGTTCCACCTTTATTTGACCCTCTAACTCTAGCACTTTCAATTCTATTTTAATTCTACTTTATTTATCTTCTTTTTTTATTAAAAAAAAACACTAGCTTTCTC